TTTGGCAATCAGCCCTCGTGAGTTATGTAGGTTCTCTTTCCTTCCATTACCCCTCCAACAAGCTTCTCTACACTCTCTCTTTCCTTCCTGTACAACCACTTAAAAACTCTCCCCTACACCTCTTCCGACTGCACAGACAGTATTCATAGATGATGGGTCCTCTTTCTGGAGCAATGTTTCTATATAATACCTAAATAGCTCCCTATGGCAGGACCAAGACCTGTGTGGATCGGGGAGTTCTCTTATAGCCAAAGGTTCATCTTGGAGAATGGAGCCCTGGGGACTTCTCTCTTACTGTTTTCCCATGTCCAGGATCTTCTCCTGGTTGTTAGCCAGTCCCTGGCCAGGCAAGTTGCCCCGAACCCTCTCCATACCCATTTTTGGTACTTCCAGTTTTTTTCCCTGGTGAATCTTAGCATACTCTCCTAGGCAATCTGTTTGAAATGTGAGAATCTGATTACTATTCTGGTTCCTCTCTGTAGAGGAGGTACATACTACCTGTGTCTAGTCAGACATCTTGATCCTATTTCTTGTTTAATTTTTCCAAGGTTGTTTTGGTTATTCTAGATCCTTTATATATAATTTCCAAATTTTAGAGTCAGCTTGACAAATTCTACAAAAAATCCCTGCTAAAACTCTTATTAGGATTTTGCTGAATCTGTAACAAATGCGGGAAGAATTGACATTTAAAATACTGAGCTTTTCAATCCATGAACAGTCTCTCCATTTGTTTACTTTCAGCACTGTTTTGTAGGACTCAATATACAGATGTTGCATCTTTTATCAAATTTATACTTAATTATCTCACTAATGCTACTGTAAATATTTTTAATCTCATTTTATAATTGTTGCTAGTATATGAAAATGCAATTGATTTTTGTATATTAACCTTGTATCCTGTAACCTTATTAAACTCACTTACTAGTTTTAAATTTTTTTATATATTCCGACTAGAATATTTTTCTAGAGTCAAATATGTCATTTATGAATAGAAGCTTTTTTACGTATTCTTTTGTAATCTGGATGCCTTTTATTTCTTTTTCTTGCCTAATTTCCCTAGATAGAAAATTCAATATAATATTTAATAGAAGAGGACATCAGATATCTTTACTTTGTCTCTGATCTTAGGGGAAAAGCATTCAGTTTTTCACCATTAAGTATGATGTTAGCTGCTGAGGGTTTTTTTGGATGCCCTTTATCAGGTTGAGGAAGTTCTCTTTTAGTCCTACTTTGTTGAATTTTTGTCAAATTCGGGTTTTGTCAAATGTTTTCTCCATTTATTGAAATGATCATACGGTTTTCCTATATTAGTCTGTTAATACAGTGAATTACAATGAATTTTTTAATGTTAGCCCAAATTTGCATTGAGATGATATGGTTTGGATGTTTGACCCCTCCAAATTTCATGTTGAAATTTGATCCCCACTGTTGAATGTGGCGCCCGGTGGGAGGTATTTGGGTCATAGGAGCAGATCCCTCATGAAAGGCTTGGTGCCCTCCCCACAACAAGGGAGTCCTCATTTTATTAGTTCACATGAGAGCTGGTTGTTTAAAAGAGGCTGGCATCACCTCCTCCCTCTCTTGCTCCCACTCTTGCCATGTGACACACCTGCTCCCCCTTCGCCTTCTACCTTGATTGCAAACTCCCTGGAGCCTGCACCAGAAGCAGATGCTGGCACCATTCTTGTACAGTCCGTAGAACCGTGAGCCAAATAATCCTCTTTATAAATTACCCAGCCTCAAGTATTTTCTTTACAGCAACCCAAATGGACTAATACATGAGATACACTTCACTTGGTCATATTTATTATCTTTTTTTATCCATTGATGGATCAAACTGCTAAAATTTTGTTTAGAAATTTTGCATCTGTGTTCATGATAAATATTGGTCTGTAGTTTTCTTGTCATGATAATGCCTGACATGCTACCAGGGTAATGCTGGCCTCAATGACTTGGAAATTATCCCCTTGTCTCTTCCCCAGAAGCGTTTGTTGAAAATTGGGACATTTTCTTCCCTAAGTATGTGAACGAATTCACCAGTGTTAACAATTTGGGTTTGGCATTTTCTTTGTCAGAAATATCCACAGAATCTGTAGTGATGTCACTTCTCTCATTCCTGATATTGGTAATTTATGTCTCTTTTTCTCATCACTCTGGCTAAAGAAAGGTTTATCAATTTTATTGATTAAATTAAAGAACTAGCTTCTAATTTCACTGATTTCCTCAATTGCTTTTGTTTTCGATTACATTGATTCCTGTTTCCCCCCTTTTTCTTATTTTGTGGTTCTTCTGTAAACTTCCTAAGATGGAAGCTGAGGTCAATCACTGGTTTTGAGATCTTCCCTTTTCTAATATACACATTGAATGCTATAAATTCTCCTGTAAGTGCTGCTATAGCTGATTCCCACAAATTTTGATATCTTCTGTTTGCATTTGCATTCTGTTCAATATACTACTGTGTTACTTCTTTTCATAGCTAAACTGTTTGTGTCTTTATATTTAAAGTGAGTTGTTCATGCTTAGTTGGATTTCAAAAAGCAAGACTTAATCTGATAATAAATATGGATAACTTTGACAATTTACATTTAATGCAGTTATTGACATGGCTGTTTAAATCTATCATCTTAGTGTTTATTTTCAATTTGTCCCATCCATTCTATTTCCCTTTTTTTTCTGCCTTCTTTTGGATTTTTTTATGGTTACATTTCATCACCTTTACTGGCTTATTAACATTTTGTGTGTCTGTGGTTGCTTTAGGGTTTATTATATACATTCTCATCAGTTTACTTTCAAATAGTATTACATAACTTCATGGTATAAGAACCTTAGAGCAATATACTTTCATTTCCATTCTCCCAACCTTGATAGTACTGGCTTATATTTCACTTTACACGTTAACCACACAATACCTTATTTTTTGGTTTAAATGATCTACCTTTTAAAGTAAAATTAAGAAAAAATGTCTTCTCTATTTGCTCACATATTTACCATTTTTGGTGTTCTTCATTCACCTGTGTAGTTGCAGATTTCTATCTGGTATCATTTTCCTTCTGACAAAAGGCATTTTTAAACATTTCCTGTCATGCAAGTCTGCTTGTGATGAACTCTTTCAGCTTTTTTAGGTCTGAAAGAGTTATTTCATTTTTTGAAAAATATTTTTGCTGGGTATAGAATTCTAAATCGAGTTTATTCTTTCACAATTTTAAAAATGTTCCTCCACTGTCTGAAATCCTTATCTGTGTCTTTTTTCTCTAGCTGTTTCAAAAAATTCTCCCTTAGTGCTGGTTTTAAGGAACTTGATTATGATGATGTGTCTTGGCATCGGTTTCTTATTTCTTGCATTTGGGGTTCAAGAAGTTTTTTAGGTCTCATTTGTTTCACTCTTCTCAGGGGTACTGTCTTGTGTTGCCTAATGTCCACTATCTAACAACTGTTTCACACATTTTTGCCTTTTTTAATTTCAGGTGGGAAGGTAAGTCCAATCCCTATTATGCCACTCTAGTCAGAGACAAAGTTTCAATTTCAGGTTTCCTATTTTTTGCATATAAAATTTTATTTATTGTACTCAGCTTTTAAATTCCGTGACAAAAGTGTTTCTTCTATACATACGAAATTACTAAAATTGTTTTATTTAATCCCACCTCTTCTGATATACATTATGTGCATTTATTTTTAAAAAAGGCAATAGGAAAATATTAAGATTTAAATACAGATTTAAATAGGCAAAACACACTAATATTTATGTCCTCTAAATCTGTTTGATACTGATATATAAAGAAACTTGTTACAAGTCATAATGCTTTCATAATCTGTCAGGAAAAGATCACATTAATATCCCTTTATGCTTCAATACAAATGTATTCTATGAGCCACACTGGAAAAAAGTAAAATTCCTGCTTTTATTTTTAGAAGTAATTATTAGTATGTTTACACTTATTAAATATACCCTTAAAATTTTCCATTACTTTGGAAAACCATAGTTAGTAACCTAAGCTAGATTTTTTTTTATTTTAGTAAATATTTTCATCTCAGGAATCAAAATTGGGCAGGAGAGCTATATACAAGGTACAGAGTTTAAATCTTTGGGACAAGAGACAATAAGAAGGTAAACAAGTCAGTAGGTCTCCTAAGCTTATACCACTAAAACTGCAGATCACAGCAGGTAGATGTATATATCTGCCTGCTGCCAAAGAGGTGTAAATTCTTTTGACAATTACCTTTTCTAAATAATTTTATGGTAAGGCCAGTAATATAAAAATATTATGTACAGTATACAAAAAAATTAGAGAAAGTTAATGTTACAAACCATAAAACAAAACAATCCACACTTCTCACATGGGAGAACAAAATGGCAATAATATTATAATACCATATTTAGTATCTAATATGAAGTTTTCACTGATTATAAGTTGAGTCACATTGATTGAAACTTTACAGTATAATTTTGCATGTTAACTCATAAGACAATCAGCAGATACAGCTCCTATTGAGTCTTCTTATAAACCCTTAAAAGTTTTTTATAGGTAAAGTTAGCTAAAAAAAATACCACTCAGGTGTAAAGACTTGTCAGAAGTACAATATAGTGACATAAATGCAAAAGATATAATGTAATTTATGCAATTCAAAATCCAAAAATTGCTTTATCAAATGTACAAGTAATAAATAATAGTCATACTTGACTTCATCAAGTTAACAAAATAGTTACTAGCTAACCCTGTGCTTTATTACTCAATGGCTTAGAAACACCAACTGCCATTTTAAAATTACTTTCTCCATAAAAATAGAAGGCATATCAAATTCTTTAAATCTCAACTACCCAAATAAGTTTGGAAGACAATTTGTCAATCAAAACTATACATTTTTATGCACAATTTGCTTAAGAAAAAGGGCACTTAGTGTATAGCTAAGGCTTTCATAAAAGAAAGATCCTGTTGACTCTCTTATTAGGCAGATGGCATTGTAGTTTTTAATACAAAAATATAAATATCTTTGACAGAGAAGATGAAATAGTGGTTGGTGTAAAATCCCATCACCCTTTTACTTGAAAAAAAAATTTTTTTTCCCTAGAGACCGTGAAAACAATACTGATTCTGTGTAGTCCTGTGTTGACAGAAACTTCCCAAGTCACAAAACATTACGGCATTCACTGAAATTTCAAAAGTGCGCCCGTAGTCTTTTGTTTTCTTCTCGCAGTCTTTCAATTTCAGCCACTAAACCTTCATTCACTGAGTATCTTTCCAGCAAAGAGTGCATTTCATTCTAGAAAAAGGGGGAAATGCTGTTTAAATTATTGGTATTTCACATTTATTTGTCAAGTTATGTTATACATACTCTCAGCTATTTCTTTCATGTTCAATTAACTAGCTGAATGATGTTTCTTGTACGTGATCACTCTTATTGCTTTGTTAATATAAATGAAAGATCATTGGTGAAAGTAATATATTGGGAAGATTTATATTTGCACATTTGGGAGGCTTTTTGCTCATTGAAAAAAAGCCACAAAAAGGTAGCATTAACTACTACAGGTAAAAAAAGGTGACCAGTTAAAATCTATTTTACTTACTAAATTTCTAAAACTTCCAATTTTTATCTTAGCAACTAGATACAATAACTAAATGAAAATATACTGCCCTTTAGTGGATTTTTTTTAGATCCACACAATTCTACATTTATTTAAAATTTGACGTACATACCAGTTGCATATGAAACTGTTTAATCATTTCCACTTGCAAATTCACAATGTCCCTATGGCATGCTTCTCTAGGAAAGAACACAAAATACTTATTAGAATTATAACAGTTTAACCAATTCCAGATCATTCGAGAAGCTGGCTAAGCTTTTTCATTGTTTCAAATGATTAGATATTAATAATTATAATAAAAATATCAATGAACCAAGCATTTATTTACTATGTGGTAGGTACTGTTTCTTATCCTTTAAATGTAAGAACTCATTTAATCTTCACAATTAGGTGCAATTATTACCTCCATTTTATCAACAAAGTAACTGAGCTACCAAGCAGTCTTGAGTAGCTTATATTTAAGAAATAATTCAATTATTATGTTTCTAAGATTCGCATTCTATGTACTTGTAATTTATTGGTTTATACTGGTCTATCGGTTTATAATGGTCTATTTGCCTATTGATATTTTGATTGTTTCAAGTTATTATTACGACATTGTTATAATCACGTATATATCTCCCAATCCTCATGAGCCAATGTCCTTAGATGACATATCCAGGTATAACCAAGTTGTATGCTTGTTCAGTTTTATAAAATCATGCAAATTGTTTTCCAAAGTAGAAGTATCTATGTTTTCCCATTTAATAGATCTGAAATAGTATCTCATTGCATTTTCTGTTCTCTGATTGATTATGGGGTTGAACATCTTTCCTATGTTTCACACCATTCCTCTTCCTTGAAATGCCTGTTCATGTCTCTTTCTTATTCATTTTTAAGAGTTCTTTACATAATATGAGCCTTTGTTGGTTATATGAGTATTTTCTTATTCCTTCACTTTGTTAATGGTATTTTGTGATGAATAGTTCTTTGTGATGAACAGTTCTTATCAATAGGCTCAAATTTACTAACCTAATAATGCAAATTTATCAATTTTTACAGGTAGTACATTCCCTTATATATAATAACTTCCCTACACTGAAGTTATAAATAAACTCTCTTATAGTATCTAAAATTTTGCCTTTTACATTTACTTTTACTCTGTATGGAATTGATTTTTTCAATAGCATGAAATAGGGATCTATACTTATTTTCTATATAAATAGCCAAATGCCACAACACAATTTGAATATTCCCTGTTTTGCACACAGATCTACAATGCTACCTCTTTCATATATCAAATCTATGTGTATAGGTTTCTTTCTAGACTATTTTACTCCTTTGGCCAATATGTCCACCCTGTGCCAATGCTATGCAATCTTAATTATACTTTAATAATTAAGCTTATTCATCTGACAAATAAGTCCCCTTCAACCTTATTCTTCTCTGGAGTGTCTTGGTTATTCCTAGATCTGCTTTCTTCCATATATATTTTGGAAATCACCTTCTTCCAAATCCCAGTTGGGATTCTGAATGTAACTACATTCAATCTATAGACCCATTTAGGTGAACTGGTAACTTCATAGTATCTTTTCATTTATTTAAGTGTTAATTCCTTCTAATAAAACTTTTAAAAAATGTCTTTCTTATAAAGATCTTCATCTTTGGTTAGATTTATTCCTAAGTACCTCTTTTTGTTGTAACTATACAGTATCTAAATAAATTTTCTCTTCTGCTTTCAGTTATAATAAAAGCTGTATTAAAAATGAAGAAACAAACTGAAGGAATCCAAGAACCACCAAGGTATCCAGGAATTGCATGGTCTTGCAAAGAGAAGTCTACTAGGTTAAGTCCCCCATTTACCTCTGCTCTTCCCTCTGGGGTATGTGCTGATTCCACAGTATGGAGAAAAGAGGCTGACCTGAAACAGTGGCCTGGAGCTTGACACAGTCCCACTGGGTGGGGGAGTATTAAGACTGTGGGAGTAGGCCCAAATCTGGACTTGGAAGTAGTCCCAAGGCAGCCAAATCTGGAAGTTCCAAGATCCTGAAGAGGGGAGGGCTGTGGGAAAGTAAGCCTGAAACTGTGCAACTTCCCCTCAAGACTTCTGTTGACTCCTAAGCAATGCTTGTACTAGATTGGATGCCAGTAAACCAAACATAAAATAGCAGCTACAGAGCAGATAAAGTATTTGGGCAGCCTAGTGATGTGGCAAAACAGAGGTTGAAGTTCAAGACCCACCAAAGTAAAAAGACAGTGTATACTCCAGACATTCAGCTGATGTCCTAGATGGGCAAAGACTAAACCCTAGGAATAAAGGCAAACTGGAAATAAACTAGTCCTAAGAAAACCTGAAACCTAGCAACTATAGGGTCTGCTTGCTGAAAGAAACTTAAATCTTCTTGAAAGAGAACAGGAACAGATGCACAGACTTCTGCTTAGGATGTAATCTGTCAAACCTAATAACAAGAACAAGCCTGATAACCTATAAAATCATACATTTTTGAATTCAACCAGAGCGCCAAGAATACAAAGAACTCTAAATGAACTAAAATTTCAGAAAATGAGTCCTTCCTAGGAGAAAAGAGGCCCATGATTGTTTTCATCCTTAACAGAGCAGTGGCAGGAGAAAGCTGCCCTTGATAAGGTAAAGAGAACTAGCTTAAATTTTTATAAGATTTTTAAAGACTGGCTTGACAATTTAGAATCCCGAAGAGCCCCAGCCACAAAGAAAGTCTGCATTTACTCACCAACTTTTCCCCACAGGCCTTCAGTGCATACTTATGTAGAAAATGAAGGACAGGCAGAGCAGGAGTACGGAGAGTGACCCCCAAGGCACAGGTGTCCAGAGCCTGGCGAAGACTGAGAGCAGCAGAGGAGATCTGAGTAACCCCTCTGAAGCACTCCAGGCCCTCATGGAGAAGATGGCAGCCACCCCCTATAGCTGAGGAGAAAGGCTGAGAGAGCTCCTCAATACCCTCCTCTGTCCCCCCAATGCTAGTGTAGCTGTATATGACCTACTGATGGCTGACGGCAGAGCAAGTGAATTTGCAGAAATCCGCTGAGCCGCTCTGGGTCCTCACAGAGTCTCAGGCAGAGGGAGGGGCAGAAGAGCTGAGAGGCCCTCACCCCCAATGCCAGGTGCAGATATGCAGGGCATGCCGAAGGCTGAAGGCAGGGCAGCAGAACCCAGAGAAACCGTCGCAGGCACTGTAAGCCTTCACCACACACACTGCAGCAACCCTCCAGGGCTGGGAGGCAGACGCACCTCTCCTGAGAAAGCCAGGAGCAGACTAGAGATCAAAGAATCAACCTCCATTAACTTCAAAAGCTGGCAGGCAGGCTGTAAAGCACAGAAGTTTTAGAGTCAGATCCCCAGCACTCAGATCCCCAGGCCTACTGAAGGAAAGGTCCTGAGCCCACTGCCCTCAAATCATCTGAAGCCAGCGGTGACTTGACATTCAATGCTTGTTGAATAAATGGATAACAAACAGATACATCACATTATTCCTGTGCTTGAAAACTTGCATGGCTCTCCATTACCTGTGTGCTAGGGCCCTCACAAGTCCCTTTCTGGCCTTGTCTCTTACCACAGCACCTCCTTTCTGCAAGCGATCCTAGATTGTTCGGTCATGTTTATGCTCATGCTGTTCCTACCCACTTCAGTACAAAACTTCTCAATCTACCCCAGGAAAAGAGTTGCTCCTTTCTGTGTTTCCAGCATCACTTTGTTCACATTATAGTCAGCTGTATCCAGACAATTCTACTTTTATGCCATAAATATTTATGTATTCCCAAAAAACATCATGTTCTTTAAAACTGTGGATTAAAAATAACAGAACTTAGGGAAAAAGGATTAGGGCAGACCACTCAAAACCTGTGCAACTTCGTAACCAAAGCACTAACAAAGACAATTAAATCCTAATAAAAATAAAAATACTAGCACGATAAAGACATGGTAAAAGTCTAATAGATAAATATTGAATAATAAACTTTACCTTGAAAAGTGGATAGTAGAAGGAAGGATTAGGGCTATCAAGTTATGGAGGTAAAGAGCAAAATGCTCAAAGACTGGGAATAATCGCAAAGTAAGTGCTTCTCACACAAAGCACACAGCAAAGCCAAGAGAAGAGGAAGTGAACAGAGGAGATGGACGCTGACAGGGAGTTTGGTGCATTCAGCTGTGTCTAGGTGAACTTTGTTTCGGCTGCTGTTCCATGAACAAACAAAATCTCATATTGTCAACACTGCCCTATTTACCAATCACAAATGAATTAATTCACATTAAAGAAACACACATCATAGCAGTACACACTGTACCTATCCCAACTAAACTATAAGGCCTTTGTGGGTAGATCATTCATTTTTGTATCCTTAGTATCTGGTACACACACTAGTATCTGGTACACACACTGATAATTTTTCTTAAAGTATTTTTAACATTAAAAAGAAACATGTACCAACAACTGCACATCTTCTCCAACATTCTTGCTCATGATAATCCAAATCTGAGCTGGAACATTCAGTAACTATAGGTTAGGAAGGAAAAAGAAACACAGAAGATTCTAATAATTGAAGATAGATTCCAAAATATTGAGATGATGAGTAAAAGTAGCATTCTAGAACATATTCTTAGAATCGATGAGAAAGACAAGGATAGGTCCACGAAAGAATTTTTTTTTTAGACTAAGTATTACATTTTGATGTATTCTCTTTGAAAATATTCAGAACTACTCTTTAAAATATCTTTCTCTACTACATTATCAATATTTGTATTTCCCTACTACATTATCAATACTTGTATCAACTGCTATATCTATTATTTAACAGTCATCTATAAATATTGTTTGTAAGAACCCCTTCGAGCTTATCAGATCTGTCTACATTTTGATGAAAATCCTTAACGGCAGCCTGTCCACTAGACTGCCCTGCCAAATTATCTATAATTACACTACGTACATGTGCCTTTTCCTGGCTACTAATCAGTAAATTCAGTACAACAAGATCAACAAAACTCATCATATTTTCCTACAGTTTTATGGTCATCAGAACATAGACAAAAGCAGTAACCACCAACATTACTTATAGTTCTGGTGTTGCATCTAGTAAAAACAACACATTTAAGTTCTAGACAGAACGAATAAGTTCTCAATTACTACCTGAAGTCATCCAGTGTTTCCTGTATCATGTTCTGAATAAAACGGATTTGAATGGATGTCAATGGTGCATTGGGCCGATTGTTCCCAATGGTATCAGCTATTTTTTCTGAGAGTGAACTGGCAACTCCAGCAGTGACAGAGGATGCTATCTTTGGATCTAAAATAAAGAATGGTGAAAATATTAATAGTCAACTTGGACTAAGAGACATCAAACATTTCTAAATAAGATTTGGCATGAGAAAACTTGAAAAACTGGCAAACAACAGTGTTCCTGTGACATTTAGAAAAATCCACTATCTGGAATACAAATCTCAGAAACTTTCTATGACATTATTTCTAATAGTCATTTGTCTATATATATAAACTGCCAACTGTCTAATGTAATAACCTATGACAGAGGGATTAATCTTGAAGAATCTCTGAACCATTTCCTCTTATAAAAGATGAATGTGACAAGCTGTACCACAAACTAGATAAACCAAGACTATTAAAAACAAACAGAAGGAATACAGGAGTAAAGTAGTGCTACAGGAAAAGCCCTAGAGTTTAAGCTAACACAATATATCCACAGAAACCTTAAAGTGAAATACAGATATTTATATAATAGAGTTGCTTCTATACAAAGAGCTGCTTTCTATCTTTGAATAGATACCTCTTATAACTAAACTTAATATTCCTTTAAATATGATCAAGTTTTTATGGGTCTGTGGCATAAACTCTAAGGATAAGACTTTAATATGCAGAAGAAGAGAAGACTTACAATTTCAGGTAGTTAACCACCCCTTTTCAAAGGGTCTTACATAATAATTCTATCTATACCATATTAAATCAAGACACTTACATATTCAATTGAAAATGAAATTCACACCAAGAGAGGATCAAATCAATGTAGCTGAATTTAACCATTCATATGAATTTCATTGTCTCCTAGTAAGAGAGGCAAACTGGAGAAATGTCTGTAAACTTTAAACTCTGTGAACATTTTTAGTCTATGATCAACTCTATTTCTCTTTCACAAGTTAAATAATTGGGAGGACTTTTTAACTTAACACTTTAAAACATCAGGAAGTTTAATGTACTTACTTGGAGTTGAGGATCCATTGGCTGGGGGTTCATATATCAACTGGGCTTCGACTTCTTTCTCTGGCTTTTCAAATTTCTCAGAATTTCTTGTTTGGTTAGACGATGGAGAGGTATTTAAACTTCCAGTTTCAGCACCAGAAGTGATCAACTTTGCAAACTTTACATTTAAAATAAACAAAAAAATTAACATATAATTTCTTGTTTAACTCATAAACAAGAGTTTTTACCTACATTTCTCTTTTTTTCTAGTAGGTAAATGGAAATGAAGGAAGAATAGGAAGAGACATAGAAGGAGGAAAAAACTATGAGGACTCACGCAAAATAAATTAACATTTGCTAATCAAAAACCATCTCAATGATAACATGAGGAAAAGCTCATTTATTGAGCATCCGCTGTTGAGAATCATTTAAAATGGAAATTGGTAGCAAAAACTTTTAAAAATCCTAAACTTTTATGTGGTAAAAGACATTTTTGTACTTGCATGGTATCAGTATCATTCCAAACAATAAATATGAAAACAAAAACAGACATATTACACACCTCAAAGACTTGGCCTTCCTGGTAATATTTGATCAGTCTGAACCCTTACATAAGCAATTAAATTTTACACTGTATTGTATTTTAGCAAAAAGTAGTAATTATAAATCCCATTTTTAGGAACCACCAATTTGCTCTTAGACTTAAGAGTAAATGACTTGACCACCAACTTGATGTATTATGCTGCGACAGAAATACAGTTTAACAGAATTCAGGGATGAAGTGTTCCTCTATAGGCAGATAGATAAAGTATTTCATCTTAGAAAAAAATAGTGTAAGGTTATATTTGCTGTTACCTTCAACATAGCCAAAGCCATATTTCAAAAGTATTTTTTAGCTATTAAAAAATGACATCAAGATATACGAGCATTTTTCTACCTAGTAAGTACACAGCACTGTCATTAATTAGGATACATCCACTGGCAGCTGTCCGCTTTCTAGCGATAAATACAGTGAATCATTTTCAGGCAGATACCTGTTTGAAGGAGTCTTTAGGTTCCTGTTTTCCCAGATATATTTTCTTAGACTCAGCTGTCAGATCATGATTTTCATTTTCTTCTTTCCCTGGAGATCCCATAAAGACATTAAGAGGACTAGAATGCAATACTGAACTGCTTGAAGTTACAGGATTTTTTCTTGGAGGAAACACTGAGTTCAATTGTGGCAGAAAGTCAAGACCTGAAAAAGAAAAGGAGAAAAACTGCATTCGCATATGATGGACTACAATCCTGGATATATAAGAAAAGTACTTAACATGATTGGCAGATAAATATGGTAGAAGACATAGGATTTGAATTCAGAAGACTGGTTTGTTTCTCAGCTATACACCTTCTTTGATGTGTATTCTCGGGCAAAAATCTTAAAACTCTGCGTGACTGTTTTCTGATCTGTAAATGTAAATGATGATAGCCGTCTCCGAGAGTGGCAAGGCTTAAAAGATACTATATGTGAAAATACCCTGAAAATGGCAAAACACAATGTTTTAGTCAGTATTAGTTTTTGATAACTGAAAATTGTTAATTTAGAATACATCCATGGTATATATCTTGGGAAAGCAGCCTCTCAGATGGCTCCTAATGATCCCTGCCTCTGGCGTCCATGCCCTTGGGTAATCCCCTCCTTGCCTCTGGCATCTATGCCCTTGGGTCATACCCTCCTTTTGAATGAGGCTTGGACCTAATATCTCGCTTCAGAAGAAATACGACAAAAGTGGTGGGATGTCATTTCCAAGACTAGGTTACAAACATACTGTGGCTTCCATCTTGGATTTCCTCTCTCACTCTCTTACTCACCTGCTCTGGGGAAACCGGCTGCCATGTTGTCAGCTTTCCTACAGAGGCTAAATTGGCAAGGAACTGATATCTCTAACCAGCAGCCACATGAATGGGCTCGGAAGCAGATCCTTGCCCAAGTTGAGACTTGAGTTGAATGCAGCTCTGGATGACACCCTGATTGAAGCATCAAGCGACTTAAAGCCAAAGGTATCCCACCAAACCATGCTCAAGTTCTTAACCCACGGAAATTATGAGATGATAAATGTTTGCTCTTTCAAACCTCAAAGTATTGGGGTAATTTGTTACACAGCAATAGATAAAATAATATTACTTTTAATTTTCATGAAAATACTTCTAAGTAGATCTTACCATTTCCTTTGCCTACTGACTCTTCACCTCCCTTGTTAACTACAGCATCTGTAACAGAATTAGAAAATCCAATTTAAAAAATAGTTAAAAAGAAGCCATATCAATTTAGGCTTCCTATTCATTTCCCAAAGAGTTCAGAGACTAACAATTTTAAGAAGCAAAACATGAGTGAGGTTAAAAGTTAAAGCTAGCAGTAACTAGTAAGCTACCTGATTTAAATTTCCCCTTTCATTCTTTTAGTTACATGCATAACAGCAAATATGAAAAGATAATTCTATGGTATACAGTCATTTCATGAGGCAGCAAGGTACCGTAGAACAAGCCTGGAGTAGGTTCTGAAGATCTATAATCCAGTTCTGCCTATACCACTTAATAGCTTTGTGACCATGCACAAGCTTCTAATGTAATCAAGTTTCAGTTTTTGCATTTATAAAATTGGGGGGATAATGCCCTGATAATCTCACAAGATTGTTTTGGGGATCAACTGAAACAATGTAAAAATATTCTGTAAGCAGTACAATGCTATAAAAAACATAAAGTTTTATTAATATTTATTTCAATGGTAGAATACGTGTAAGACTATTAACAGTGTAATATCTATTTACCAATTCACAACCAAAATTGTCTAACTCAATTTTAACAAATTAATAGAAAAATGGGTAAAAGTCATTAACAAATTCACCAGAAATTCAAATGACCAATAAGCACAATTATTGTATTAGTAGAAATATCACCCTTCTATGTGCATGTGTATGTATACACCTAGTTAACTACACAGCGTGCATGCACACACATGCACACAATTTTAAAAGTTATTAGTTTTCTCTTAATAAAAGCAGAAGTATTCTTGTTTATAAGATGAAGAAATTGAGGCACAGATTAATAAGCCTTTTACTTAAGTAGAGTTGCATTCTTCACAATAGAAACCAGCACTATAATCAGTAACCATGTTTTTTCTTATTAGTAATTAATAATATGAAATCCTAATCTAAATGGAGGGCATATGACAAATTTTAATCACATTTTAAAGAATAGCAAAAGTAATTAAAGAAAAAAGTAATTTACTTATTTAGCTTAAAAACTACTAAAGAGAATTTAATTTATAACGCAAACACTTCCAAAAAGCCCATTCTACATTCTTCAATGCAAAAATTGCTCCAGGGGAATCTCAGAGGCCAAAACTCCCTAATTCAAACACTAACTCCGGAAACCTTTCTCACCTCCAGCCCTAGCCACCTTCCCTCCTTCACCCACTCTCTACTCTTTAACTATGTAGTCTGACTTCTCTTCATCCTGAAATAAAAAGAATACTTCCTCTTTCATTAGGTGGAATATAGGGGAGTTTGGTCTAGCAATTTAAATAGTCACTTTCAGGCCAGGGCAAGACAAAAGACACTTAATAATTCTGTACCATCACATATGTATTATTATTCCTTCTGATTATTAATCATAGAAAATTTAGAAAAGAGATAATTTTTAAAAAATGAAAATGTATAATAAGATCATGAGTGGATATAACAGTTTTAACATCCTGCTACTGATAAAACTTAAATTCTCTCTAGTTTTTCACTATTATAAACAGAATAGTAAATACACAAAGTTCTGTGACCTTCCCTTGAACATTTTCTGAGATAAATTTGTAGAAATGGAATTATAAGGCCAAAAATTATGAATATTTTAACTCTGCCAAATTACTCTCTAGAAATTTACCCATATTATTGATAATATTGCAATTAGCAGTGAGACTATTCCATTAAGAAAACATGAACATTAAGTTCAAAAAAAAAGCCCAGCTAAACAATGTATCTAGTCCATATACTATGAACAATGATATATGTTTCCATTTATCAAGGTACTCAAGTTTTGTTTTGTTTTACAGCAACACTTATAGGGTGAAGGGTGGTGGTACACACACACACACACACACACACACACACACACACACACACACAGTACTTTCCACACATAGTATAAAAGATGGGGCAATCTATCACCTAGCCATATTTCTCCATGAAAACATGTAATAAATACTAATTAAACACTAATAATAAAAGATAAAAAATTTTAAATTAGGAAGATTAGTTCTTTGCATATCAAACATCCAAAATTTTAGGAAGATTCATTTAAAGTAGCTACAAGGAAAAGATTGCCTATGAAGGTAAAACTTCATTCAAGAAACTTTTGTGGAAATTAAAATACCAACTTGAGAGCTATCTGCATAATTCCCATGTGAAAATTACCAGCATATATTTTAGAATGACATCTGAAATATCAGGGCAAAGAAAAAGATACCACCCCAGAGACTGAGAAAATTAGCAAATTGCTATGAACAAAGTTAGACTGAAGCTATTACCCACATCTTTTAGCCAGAATAAAAACGTACCAGCAAGAGAACATGATCCTTTGATCTCAATGAACTTACCATCTCTGATAGGTGAGAACATGTCACCTAAACTACTTTTCCCAGTGTCATCAAAGCTGGAGAAATCCTGATTTTTTCCACTGTCTGTTTCCTTAGATAAAATATCTGTATTTATGTTTCGAGGCAAACCTTGCAGGAATTAGATATAAAAATCAGTGTTATTACATCTAAATAAATTTTATAATCAGAAGCTAGGTTGTAAAAATCAACGCATTACCCATATTGCTGGTAATATTATAACTGTGAGCACCAGCAAACGAAAACAGAAAATAACAGCTAAGTAACCAGGATTTTCATGGAATGAAAGGTTCCTCAAAAGCAAATAGCTTATTTGTTCACATAGCAACATCTTATTTAAGCCATTTTGATGAAATTTTTCTAAAATAATTTATATACTTTTACTGCTCTCTTAAGTATACTGAACACAACTTACTTTTGCTACTGACTTTTATGATCATCCACAAATGATTTTAAAAAATGTCTCTAAGGCATACAGCACAAGGCCCAACATACAGCAGGATTCAATTAACATTAGTTCTCTTCCCCAAGGTGGGATGAATGTGTCTCTTTGTTTCTCTTTTCTGTCTTTCCTTTCACTAACAGTGGGAACTTAACATTGCCCTCAGCATTACTGATCTCAAATGACTTCACTAACCTCTGTAGTTCACTAAGAGGAAGAAAACCCAAATACCTAACTCATAAAGAATAATAGTATGGTAGACAACAATAAAGAGGCAGCAGCAGTTTATATTTTCTGGCAATATATAATGCAGTGCTTTAGGGCAGGGACTTTTTTAAGAGTCCTGTAGGCTCAGTAGCTTCTTGCTCATTACTAGAATAAGAAATCAGTTCTAGGGATTCAAAAATTATTTTTTTTTAATTTTATTTCAGCATATTATGGGGTACAAATGTTTAGGTTACATATATTGCCCTTGCCCCACCCGAGTCAGAGCTTCAAGCGTGTCCATCCCCCAGATGGTGCACACCACACCCATTACGTGTGTATATATCCATCCCCTCCACCCCCCTCCCATCTGCCCAACACCCAATGAATGTTTTTACTATATATGCACTTAAGTGTTGATCAGTTAATACCAATTTGATGGTGAGTACATGTGGTGCTTGTTTTTCCATTCTTG